CCAATCTAACATCACCCAGAAATCATGACAGTGAAAATTCAACAGAGAAACATGAATTCAGATAAATCTTTTTCAGGAATGATGGAGTCCTTTCACTGGAAAAAGGATTAACACAATGAAGTCACAGAGATTTCAGTTCCTCTTTTTCTCCTACTCACATGCTCACATCCTCTCTATGAGCACATAACATATTTTTACCTTCCCAATCCTGCAATGCAGACATGTCCTCCATGTGTAGGGTGTCTGATAATTAGCCCACATGTTCACCACCTCCCAATTCCCAAGCCTTTTCCTACCACAAGCCCACAGCATCACATGACTGTACATAACAAGCAGTTTTTCTGGAACTGTCATGAGGTGGCTCTTATAATTACTGTCTTTGGAAGTTACATGTTTCATTATCTCTAGAGGAAGAATGAAAATGCACGTGAATAAAGCATAACCTGCTGTCATGATGTTGACAGGAAACCCTGAGATCAGCAAACTAGTTTTTTTTTTTTTTATCCATCAGGGTTAAGTTCAGCTGTGTGTGGAGATAACCCTAAAATAATAGTGGCATGAACAAAACTGTTTATTTGCTTTCACACAAAAGAAGTTTATAGGTAGGTGATCTAAGGCTCGTATGGTCAGCTTCATGGTCATCAGGGCCCAGGATTCTTCCATCTTTCTTTTCCACAATGTTAGTGAGTGGCTTCCATCCTCAATGCCCCCTTGGCCCAAGTTGGCTGTGGAAGCCCATTCATCACACCAAAGTTGAAGTCCAGGAGATAGGGAGGAAAAGCAAAAGAGGACCTCTTCTCTCTTTTCAAAGAGCTTTTTTAAATTTTATTTAGTTATTTTTCAAGTACAGTTTTTTGTCTATTTCTCCCATCCCAGCCCCCCCTACCCCGTGCTCCCCACCTCCCTCCCATTTCCTCCCCCCCAGTCCTCATCCCTGTGTCCTTCACACTTGTTCCTCCAAATCCCTCCCCTTTTTCCCCCTTAAATTCCCTTCCCTCTCCCCTCTGGTCACTGCCCACTTGTTCTCTATTTCTGTGTCTTTGTTTTTATTATGCTTGCTTGTTTGTTTTGTTGTTTAGCTTCCTGTTAAAGGTGAGATCATATTTTTTTAATATTTAACAAGATTTATGTTTACACCTCATTTGTGAGAACTTTTTTGGGTGGTCATACTCAGCTGCAAGGGAAACTGAGAAATGTCTTTTAGCTAAGGATGTCCCCACACTAAATAAAATTGGAGTTATGTTATAAGCTATGTAACAGAGACCTAATGTCACAACAATATTGTGTAACAAACAACCATGAAATCTCTGTGGCAACAGTTGCTCAAATGTCTGGGAGTCCAGTGAGAGTCAGAGTTCAGAGTGCCTAAGTGTCAGGTAAGAGGCCCTTCCGACCGTACTGAGCTTTCTCACATGTCCAGGAGACAGCTGACTATTGGACTGTCTGGGCTGGCCTCAACAGAGAGGTGCGGGAGGAGAGACCAGTGAGACTTGGTTCTTCTCTGCATGTTACTCATCTTCCAGAAGACTAGCCCAGGCATGCTTTCATAGAATAGCACATGGAAACATTCAGTTCAAAAGTGGTACATGACCATTTGTACTGTATCTGATTGGCCAAAGTACATTGCACAGGGTGGAGAAGTATCCACTGTTTTTTGTGGAAGGAACTCTAAAGTCATGGACAAATTACATGGATAGAAGAGTCATGAATACAATCATCTACCACAAGGACAAAGGGGAGGGAAGATGAGCACTGAACCAGGCAACCAGCAATCTGTGCTAAAGCACTTTTGTGTCTGTTATGGAATTGTATTACTAGCCTTTGCCCCAATTTATGCCTTGCTTTAAACATTGGAAAATGATAGCAAAAGTGAAGGAGAGAAAAGAGCTAATGTAAATTATATGTAACTTTATTTATTGATTTCTTTAATTCATAACTCTTGTTCAATTACTAATGGAGTAAGTATTAATCTTAGTATTTGCCTATTCTTTACTATAGGGAGAAACTGGCTAAATATTCCCCAAACCTGACTATTTTTTCCAAGACAGCTACACTATACTTTCCAACTTCTATAAAAGTTAGAGTGACCAGCTGGTGGAATGTGAGCAGAAATGATTACTACTTCAGGCCTGGTTCATAAAAACCTCCCACATAAAATTTCTGTTCTCTCTCTCTCTGTCTCCCCTCAATGCCCCCACCAACCCTCCCTCTCTTTTTCATTCATCAGCTGAATGGGAAATACTCTGAGAAGGGCAGAGCCATAGGATAAAATACTAGCTTAGAGAAGCACCCCTCCACCCTGCACTATTCTCAGCAACTTGCACTGGATGGAATAGGAAATGAACAAGAATTAACATTTTGTGGTGTAAACTGAGATTTTGCAGCTGTTTGTTTCAACAAGTATGCTATCCTATTTACATAGTATCCTCCAGATAATATGCATTCATTTCCTCCCTTAAACTTTGCTAAAAATAAAAGTAATGTTCCAAATCACTTGCCAATTTACGTAAGAAATTTTTCCTTTAAATAAAAGAACACTGTTTGCTATAAGATTGCCATATGTAACCCAATTAAAAAATGGGAAAAGGACTTGAACAGACACTTCTCCAAAAAGGACATACAGAATATCCAGAGACACATGAAGAGATGCTCAATATTGCTAGCTATCAGAGGGATGCAAATTAAGACCACAATGAGATACCACTTTACATCAATCAGGATGGCTATCATAAAAAAAGCAACAAACAACAAATGTTGGAGAGATTGTGGGGAAAAGGGGACCTTAGTTCACTGTTGGTGGGATTGCAGACTGGTACAACCATTATGGAAGACAGTATGAAATTTTCTCAGAAAAATAAAAATTGACCTGCCTTTTGACCCAGCAATTCCACTGCTAGGATTATATCCTAAGAACCCAAAACATCCATTTCAAAGAACCTATGCACCACATACTTACCTGGCAGGGGAGATACCATGATCAAAAAGAACCTATGCACCACAATGTTCATAGCAGCACAATTTACAATAGCCAAGAGTTGGAAGCAACCTAGGTGCCCGTCAGTAAATGAATGGATCAAAAAATTGTGGTACATATACACAATGGAATTCTATGCAGCAGAGAGAAAGAAGGAGCTACTACCCTTTGCAACAGCATGGATGGAACTGGAAAGCATTATGCTGAGTGAAATAAGCCAGGTGTTGAAAGACAAATACCATATGATCTCACCTTTAACAGGAAGCTAAACAACAAAACAAACAAGCAAGCAGAATAAAAACAAAGATACTGAAATAGAGAACAAGGGGACAGTGACCAGAGGGGAGAGGGAAGGGAATTTAAGGGGGAAAAAGGGGAGGGATTTGGAGGAACAAGTATGAAGGACACAGGGACGAGGACTGGGGGGGGTGGAAATGGGAGGGAGGTGGGGAGCATGGGGTGGGGTGGGCTTGGGTGAGAGAAATAAACAGAAAACTGTACTTGAAAAATAACTAAAAAAAAAGATTGCCACATGTATCAAGGGAGACAGGGTTTCAGTTTACAGTGGCCCTGGAAGATGTTAGGGTTTCATCAAACTACTACTATTACTCTGACCACCATTAATCCATTCCAACCAAGAGTGCAGATAAAAGAAAATCAAGAAAGAGACTTGAGACACCAGAGTTCTAAATGGTAAGGTGATATTCAACTCTGTCTCCAAAGACTTTAATAGCTCCTTGTTTGGGATCAACTTACAATTTCTTTAAAAATGCACACATTATTAAAAATAACTTCTGGCCATTTATTTAATGATCAATCAAACATGCAATACAACTGCTCCAGTAATTGCCAGCAAATAAAAGGGAATAAAGTGAGGGGAGATGGGAAGTCAGCTACGTACAGGCTGAGTGGCAGGCAGTGTTTGCGGTGGCTCCTGCCCTTGTAACATTGATTAGCATCTCATATAGGCAAAAGAAACAAGAAATTAGGGCAGCGATTTTCAGACATTTTCATCTCATGGCACACATAAACTAATTACTAAAATTCTGTGGTACACCAAAAAATATATTTTTTGCCAGTTTTCCAAGGTATAATTTTGATTCATTCACACCAGATGGCCATCGTTCTGTTGGATACTGTCCTTTTTTTGTTTGACAATCTAAGGGAAAAGAGGTCAGTATCTCTGACTAAATAGTCAAGTATTGCGTTACTTGACTATTTAAAAATTCTTGCGGCATGCCAGTTGAAAATCGCTGTGCTAGGACGAAAGAAATCTCCATCTAAAGAACCCAAGGGCTGCAGAAAAACTGCACAGCATTGTTATTTGGCTTTAGCTGAGTCATCTTCCTCTTTAGAATAAGAAGCAGTAGTTTCTCATTTTTAAATATAATTCACTAGAGCAAATATAAAAGTAGATGGGTCATCCTAGACATTTATGATGGCAGGCAGTAAGCTTTTACATATATATGTAAACACATGCACACACACAAACACAGGTTGCAACAGGCCTCGCAAACTATCACATGGCCTCTCATAAACACAAAGATATCCAAGAGTAACAGGAGCAGCTGAGCTAGATGTTGAACTCCAAGTTTTCCAACTGGTTGCTTTTTCGTGACATCTCATCAAATTTAAATTGACTTCCAGATTTTTTATTTTCATGCTCTAGGAAAAAAACATAAAATGTACAATTACACAGGAATAAATACAAGCCTCCCGAAGAAGAGATACTGGGAAGTAAACACTTAAGCCCCAGCTAAACTTTATCTCCCCCATTCTCAAAGGGTGGTCTAGGACAGTTCTTTCCCAGGGAAAAACTACGATAAAGCAGAAGTTCTTGTTCTCATGCTGCCCAACTCTGCCTGGGCTGTCAGTTGTTAACAAAGCTTTCATGTCAGGAAAGAGGCTGAGGGAACAAACATAATGCACCAAGAATTGTATCAAACTTTTCCAGGACACTGTAAACTCAAAGTTTTACAATGATGTTTTTCTTTCTATTGAGTTTACATTTTCCAGTCTTCAGTTCCTACCTGCAACCATTTATCCTCTGGAAGCAGAAGAATTCCACAATGACCAGGAAAACCAAGAAAAGAGGGGATTTCACATAGAGTATGGTCAGTAAACACAGCACTGGAAATCCCAGGGGTCCATCACCTTTAAACACAGGCAACACAGGTAGGGCTAGAGTCATTTCAAGGATTCTTCTAATAAACAAATTATAACTGTTACTTGGAAGTAGTGACAATCAAAACACCTTTTAGATCAGAATTCAAATGTTGCTAATGCATCATTCCTTCATGACAGAGTTTAGGAATCATGTCTGTGTTTTACACACAGTTGATTTTTAATCATTATTTTCTGAATGAATAAGTGCACATTAAGTATTTCTAATGCTTCCCAATTTTATAATAAAAAAGGAAGCATACTTTCTAATTTCTTGTGTAAATGTTAGTCCTTTGGAGCATTATTCTTTTTTTTTTTTTTTTTTTTTTTTTTTTTTTTTTTATTTAGTTACTTTTCAAGTACATTTTTTTTTCCTTCCCCCCCCGCCCGGTCTCCCCCTCCCTCCCATTCCCCCCCCCCCCAGTCCTCAACTCTGTGTCTTTCATACTTGTTCCTCAAAATTCCTCCCCCTTTTTCCCCTCAAGTTCCCCTTCCCTCTCCCCTCTGGTCGCTGCCCACTTGTTCTCTATTTCAGCATCTTTGTTTTTATTCTGTTTGCTTGTGTAAATGTTATTCCTTTGGAGCATTATTCTTAATATTTTGGGCACTTCTTAATAATATATTCCACACAGTGAAATGATTTTGTCACTAAGTATCTGCAGCCTTTCGAGTAGGGCATTTTATATTTTCCTTTCACTTATTCATGTATCAAATGGCCTCAGAAATCATTAAAAAAATTGAACTAATTAGGACCACTTTTCTGAAGTCTTTTCTCCTATGAAAATGATAACGAAGAGAATGTGAACTCTAAGTATGGATCTGATTCTTGGCTCCAAGAGGTCAGGTCATCCATTAAACAACCTGCTCAAATACTAAAGTAGAAGAATGTCAAACAATCTCCTGGGCACTGTAAGGGAAGACAATAAAGACACATCACAGCCCTCAAAAAACACACAGTCCAATTGGAGAAATAAGATCCATACAAATGAAAAGATAACTTACCAGAGAGCAAAAACAGTGATAAGTGAGCATTACAAATTGTTAATCACCTAAGCAATTGGAAAGCTTAATCAACATAACTGGGAGGTCAGGGTGAAGTAAGATTTGAACTGAGCCTTACTGACAACAGGATTAACTAGGTTAAAAGAAGAAAGGACTTTTCAAGAACAGGAATTTAAGCAAAGATTTGAAGATGAGTTCATTTAAATCATATTTGAAGCACAGAGTGATATATATAGAAATATAGTCCAGATGATCTGAACCTAATTGTGCAGTCATCAGTATATGTGAGGCACTGGATCAGACTTTGAGGATATGGAAATGAAAGATATGGTTTCCCTTCTCAAGATGCTAAGACTATACTGGGAGTCAGGGAAGTGGTCAGTCCGTTACAGGATCATGGAAGTACTCACACAGAGGTATGCAAGAGGCATTTGGTGAGCAGAGTAGAACAGATGAAACTTCAGGATGAGAAAAGATTATCCCAGGAATACATCAAACTCGTCTAGAAAACTCAATAAGAAGTGAGCAAATGGAATGAAAGAAAAGAGTGTGGGTGAAGAAGTACATCATAGAGAGAGAGAGGTAGAAATTGCATGTGAAAGAAAACAGTAATAAAAGAGCCTAACAATTTTGAGAAACCCAGCAAGGCCCATATGCATGGGGCACAGGCATCAGGAAGATATGAGGCTAAGGAGAGCAGCAGATAGAGATTGTAACCCCTGAGTTTAGCTTTCCAAGGGGCAAAAACAAGCCACTGTGGGCATTTAAGTAGGAGAGCAGCATGTTTCTCATTTCAGAAAGGTTGCCCTGACAACAATGTAGGGGATAAATTGGAGGGGAGTAAACTAGGAACCAGAAGTCCTGTCACAAGGACCTTGCAATAATCTGGTTAAGAAATGATTATGTTCACAACTAAAGCAGTGGGGAGAAAGAGAAATGTCCAGATTTAAGAATGATCTTTAAGATAACAAAACATAGTGACTGACTTGAATATGGGAAATTAAGAGTGATTTGTAGAATATCTTTAATTTTCTGACAAATCATTTATCAAGATATAAAATATAGGCATGGAGCTTATGGAGGACTAAAGGAAAGGAATTCTATTTCATGAATATGCACATTGAGATACCCTTGATATATCCAGCTGTAGCCACCCAATTTGGAGTTGATTTTGATAGTGGTATGGCCAAAGAGAGAAACTGGAGCTAAAAACACACACGTGAGAGGCAATAATTAGGCAATGGTTGAAACCATGAGTATAGATAAAATTGCTCAAGAAACAGGGGTAAAGGCAAGAAGAGGAGAGAGCAAATGATGGAACCCATAGAAATGTCTTTCTTTATGGGAATAGATGGAAAGGAATCTATTTAAGAAGACTAAGAAGTTGACTTAAAATTAGAAAAAGCCAACTGAAAATCTCAGGATGACGGATGAGAAGGAAGGGGAGACCATACCAAATATTATAAAGGAGCTAATTATTTACAAAGAATAAAAAAAATTATATAATACTTAGCATCTGTGTTTCAGTCCTTTCTATCAGAGCATTTTCTGTTCCGAAGATACAAGTTAAAGAGCAGATTCGAGGTAACATAGAAGAAATTATGAGAATAGACTACTCTTTAAAAATTTTAGGATAGGAGTAGATGGCAAAAGCTAAGAGTTTGACAAAGTCATAGCATTTAGTTTATAACTTTGGAGAAAAAAGAGCATGCTTAGAGAAAAAATTTGTGTAACAGAAAAAAAAACAGAACAAAAGAGTACAAAGATAATTAGTGAATCAAGCCTCTGAAGATGTGGAAGGACCTATTCTAAAGAACTTATAGTATAGGTTGAAAATCTGTTCTACAAAACAGAAAGTCGGGTGGGATGGGAGATAAATGCATAGGTCTGATACAAGAAATATACAATAAGAGCCTAGAGTTCAATGGAGATTGATAATGGAAAATAAAGAATAGATGTGAAAATACTGATACATGCTACAGCATGGATGATCCTTAAAGACATTATGCTAAATAAAAGAAGCCAGTCACAAAAGGCCACATATTAAGTTATTCCACTTATTCAAAATGTCTGAAATAGGGAAATCAATAGAGACAGATAGTAGATTAGTGGTTGCCTGAACCTGGAAGAGATGGTGAGAGTGGGGAGTGATAGCTAAGGAGTACCAGGTTCCTGTCAGGAGTGATGAATGTGCTATAACACTGATGTGGTGATAGTTGCACAACTCAGTTGTACACCAGAAGCCACTTAAAAGGGATGAATTAGTATGGTAAATAAGTTAAATCTCAATAAAGATGTTGAAAAAATAAATGTGAAAGACATGGGAATAATTAACAGGATATGATAATTTGTTTGAACTGACCCTTATGTATATATTTTTTAAGATTTTATTTATTTATATTTAGATGGGAGGGGAAGGAGAGAGGAGAGAAACGTCAATGTATGGTTGCCTCTTGTGCGTCCCCTTCTGGGACCTGGCCTGCAACCCAGGCATGTGCCCTGACTGGGAATTGAACTGCGATCCTTTGGTTCACAGGCCCGTGCTCAATCCATTGAGCTACAGCAGCCAGGGTGAACTTGACCCTTATATTTTATTAAAGGCCAAACATCATGAATTACCCAAGCTACTTACTTGAATTACAAAAATAACATGATTAAGTATGAAAATAAGAAACTCTCTACAAATCTTTGATGGTATTGAACTGCAGTATACAATGCACGCAGGAGTCATACAGAGCAACAAACTCACAAACAAAACAAAAATATCTTAATACCTTTAAAATCCAATTTTTCTTCAAACTTGTTCATGAAAATGACTCTCTAGTCAGAATTAAAATCTTAAATAGTCAGGCATTGGGAAATTATATTACCAGTGAGGTCATTGGTAATCTAAGACACATCTTTCACTGGTCATTTCCTTCTAATGTCTCTACTTTGGAACCATATAGACTTTCTTGCTTCTCTATACTCCCCACTCCACCATGGAAACTAAATTTGTTGAACACCAGAAATCTGTTGATATGATGTTGTGTGAACCATAACATTTTGTTGTTGACCATCTGCAGTTATTAAGCCAGCTTGGTAACTAGTTAGTAGATGCCTCCTCTTCTGGTGGCTCATCACGTAGTCCATCTGTAGCTATAACAGTCCCACCAATTCCTTTCACTCCTTTTATTGCCTCTCTAAATTTCTGAAGGTATGATTTTAGAGGTTCTATATAACTGTCAAAGCCTAAGGCAGAGAGATATCAAAGAGAATGTCTTCTCCATTGTTTGTCTTCAATTTCTCTTGATAGTATCTTTCACTTGTTTCAGATGTTATAAAGCTGATGAACTCATGTGCCCATTCTTGAACACTTTTTTTTGCTAGCTTTTGCAATTTTTCCTGTTTGTTCTCTGAAACTTTCTTTTGAACCATTTGTGCCTTCCTGATCATTCCTTTCATGATATCCTGTGTACCATCATAAGGCCACATAACATGACTTCCTCTAATATAGTCTGCAGAAAGTTCTAGTTGAGAAGCACCTGTTGTATAATTGTCACCAGCCATTGTCATTAGATACTGTCAGAACTGTGTTGTCAGTAGCATTCAAGAATACCCATCTAGCCCTGGATGGTGTAGCTCACTGGATTGAGCTCAGAGTTGCAAATCAAAAGGTTGCAGGTTTGATTCCCAGTCAGAGCACATGCCTGGGTCGTGGGCCAGGTTCCCAGTAGGGGGTGCATAAGAGGTAACCACACACTGATGTTTCTCTCCCTTCCTTCCCCTCTCTACCTAAAAAATAAATAAATAAAATCTTAAAAAAATAACTATAATACCTAGTGCATATTAATATAGTAAACATTAAAGCTGATGTCTATTAATATTAATCACTAATATTTGTTAATATGATGAATACAGGAGCAAATGCTTATTGAGAATCAACTATGCAATGGGCAGGCACTATGTTAAATATATATATATATAATTTAAGTAACACAATAATTCTATGAGGCAGTACCATCATCTTCATTTAACAGATGAAAACATCACAGGACAGAGAAATTAAATTATTGTCAAAGTCACACTGCTGATAAATGAGAAGACACGTTATGCCAAAGGCTTTGTACCTAACTACCAGATTACACTCCCTGGAATAATCTGAGGACAGGAACTTTGTCTTTTATTTTTATATTATCAGTTTTCTACATATAAATAACATTCAACACATATTTGGTGAATGAATTGATTAACTGGTTTCAGATGACAAATAGGGGAAGGAAAACTTGATCCTTACTCAGGGCGACAAAGTGGTGACCACTATGAGAAATAATCTCGAAGTAAAAGCCTATAGATCACTAAATTAGCAAACAATATTCTCAGAGCTGCCACACTAAAATATATTCAGAGAATGGACTGGTAAGACATCATCTATTTAATATAAGAAGACGAACAATTTCTATAGCATACTAATGTGTGTCCTAGTTAAGTTTTAGGGAATATCTACAATGAGGAGTCCAAGCTTTCTTTACCTGTGTTTAGTTCATTCATAATCTACTATGGAAGAGAAGACTGCGCCAGTCTTCTCCTGAAAAGAAACAGGTGCTTACCTTGATTCAGCTCTGTGGACAGACTCCAGTTGCCAGCCTCGTGGAAGACAGAGCAGGACACAGTAGACACATTGCTGTCTGCCCAGTGGCAGGTACTCTGGACAGTCACTGTGCCATTGCCCCAATGCTTATGCTCAGGCACACAGTCTCCCTCTGGGGTCCAGGAGATCCAAGCAGCTGGCTTTCCTGCAACTGCCTTGCACACCGCTGTCCTATTCCTGCTGTGAGACAGGGTCACCTCAGGGGCCACTGCAGAGACATAGGGGAAATGCTTTAGTCTTAACACAATAGATATGGAAACAAAAAAGACATTTCCTTCAGTCTCAAATCTGGTTATCTGAAACACCAGTGTATGTTCCTCACCTAACACTTGGAGGTGATATCCATGACAGAAATTCCCATCAGGTGTTATCACTACACACTCATAAAACCCATCATGAGTGATGAGCACTGGGTCAATCTGAAGGGCAGCATTCTGGTCAGGTCTGTAGAGCCAGGTTATTCTCTTGTCAGTACAGTTTGCCTCTGACGTCTCATTTTTCTCTCTCCTGTAGGCTTTGATGCAGGGAGGCTTGTCTCCGAGCGTTATTTTCCATGTTGTTACAATCGCATTCGTCAACCGGACAGGAAGGCAGGAGAGCACAGCCTTTGTGTTCTCCAACACAGTCAGGGAGCTGTTAGCTGGACAACACACACACACACACACATGCAAACATGCACAAAGAATGGTAAAAGAAAGCTTGATAAAGAACTTCACGTGTTAAATTTCCCACAACATATTACGTAAAGTTGTAGTAGACCATTGCTTTGCTGGTGGTCTTATCCCAAAAATATTAGACATATTAAAAAATTAAACATTCATGAAAGTTATATAACATATTAAACTGAATTCAAAGATTAACTCATTTTCCCCTATATTATGTGTTATTGGGTCAACAGGATGTATTACATGTGTGAGACATTTTTAAGTATTTTGAAATAAATTTAGGAATTTTGATATCTATGAAAAAACACGGAAAACACAATTCTCAACTACAAATAAAACTAATGAATCTTTTGGTTAGAAACTACTATACATTTTTATAACTTATGCTAATCATGGTAGAAAATGGAATACATAGTGATATGGTTGTGTCCTACATTTTGATGAGAGAAAATAAATTAGTAATATCAAATCTAAATACTTCACACTAAGGATGGCACTTCAGACAAAAATAAATATGGGAAGTCAGTAGTATTAAAAATAACTAAGATGGCCCTGGCCATGGGGCTCAGTTGGTTAGAGCGTTGTCCCAGGCACCAAAAGTTTCTGGATTCATCCCTGGTCAGAGTATGTATGGGAGGCAACCAATAGATGTTTCATTTTTTCTTTCTCAAATCAATGTCTCTCTCTCAAAGCAATAGACATATCCTCAGGTGAGGATTAAAAATAAAATTAAAACCAAAAAGGATAACTGCTTTCAAAAACTGTGAGAGACAGATTCATGAACAACAAAAACTTTCAGAATTTCAATTTTTAAATAAAGCAGCAAAACTGAGATATGAAAAAAATTAAAACTGAGATGGCATTCAGGTTAACAAGCTAAAAAATTGGAGGTGTAGAATAAGAAAGATGGTAAAATGAACACATTTTTTCCTTCAATCCTTCTTGTTACTCCCAAAGAGTTCAACTAAAAACTTTTCTCACATATTTCGTTCCCATATAATGCTCTAATTATGAGGACTAAATATAGAAATTGACTCATTTTCTCCATCTTTTATAGTAAAAATTAAGCCCTGTAACCTACAAGTAGTTTCCAACACGGAAGCTCACATTTTTCTCATAAGTTGACATGGACATAATGTGTCCATGACTGACAGGGGTTTGCTGAAAGGTGATTAGGTATCTGCTACAACTCACCTGCTACAGAGTGAGTGCCCATAATTTCATCACTTTAACATGAGCAGAAACAACTGTGGTTCTGCAAGGCTGAATTTCTACAGGAACTGAGCTTGCCTGTGCTAAACTCTGCATTTGATATCTCTACTCTCCTCTCTTGGTGTCATCTGCCTCTTCTGTGATAGACTCAGGCCTTTGGATTTCACAGCCAAAGAAAGATCCCTTAACTAGGTGGAGGAAGAGAGAGGATTATAAAGCAGATCTGAGAAGCAGTTACACCCAAGCTACTTCCACCACTCCAGGTGGCATCCCCTTACAGAAGGAAACTCCAACTTGGCAGAGGTCTAGCAGCACACAAGAACATGGCTTGTTGGGAACAACTAGAGTTAGATGTGTGTGAGCAGACATGTGCACAAGGGAAAGATGCTGAAGATAAAATCAGAAAGAAAGAGACAGTTGAGGAAGCAAGTTGTGAAAGCTCTCCAATGTTCTCAGGAGTTGGAACTCTAGCTTGAAAACACTACAAGGCTTTAATGTTTTTGCCTAATATATATATGTATGTATGTATTTGACTCAATTTTTTAGAGAGTATTAGCTAATCATGTAAACATGTGTATTTTAACAAGACCATTGGAGTATCCAAAATAGTAACTCCAATGGTGAGGAATCTAAGCACAGTGGAGATTCTATGTTCTTTCACCTTCCTCCATTTTATAATTTTCAGTCAATCACCCAATCGCCCTTCTCCTTTATGACAGTTCTTACAGAGTTGCTATTGTTTCACCCTTTCTTCACCCTCCTTTTCCCTTTTTAATGCCTGTACTGATCATTTACAATGACCAGGCACTGCCCTATGCTCAATGGCTTTGGCACCTGTCTACACAACTATTCTCCATCCCTCCCAATCAGCCAGAATGATTTCACCTCCTGCTTCACTGGGGATAGAGGGTGGATTCTCATATTTGCTCCAGCACCAGAAGTCATAGCCTGTCTCTTTTGGATTCTTTGCCTGAATACCTCCTACTCTCATCCAGCCTTATACACACAGACAAAATCCAATTGGCTTTCTGGAATTCTTTTCTCACTACCATCCTCTAGTTTAAATCCCCATCATTATGCACCAAGATACTGCAAAAGCCTCCTAACTTCTGTCTCTGTCTCAAAACTCTCCTGTCTTCAATTCATACCTGAAATTGCAACCAGGCCCATTGCTCTATAACACAGATGTGACTCACTCAACTCAAAGACCCTTCAGACATCTCTTGCTGCCTGAAGAAAACATTGGAGTGTCTTTGTGTTGCCTTTGAAAGCCCTTTTTCAAATTGACTCACCTTTCCAATCCCATCACTCCCTACATTGCTCCCACACTTCAGAAAGAAAACACCAAGCACAAGTGCTTGGATATGTCTTTCCTCACATTGTTCCTGTGGTCTGGCTGGCCCTGCCCAACAGTCTTTGTCTATTATAATACTGCTCTTCCTCTAAGGCCCAGTTCACATGATGCCTCCTCCCTGAAGCCTTCTCTGAGCCTTGGTGCTAACAGCTCCCTCCTCCAGACTCCTGGTGCACTTGACATGATCACCATGCTCATGTCTGTGTGCCCCCATAAAACTGAGCTCCCTGAGGGCTCTCTCACAGTCTTGCTCATCTTCCTCATCCTTGTGTTCTCTGTAAAGCCTAGCACAGTGCCTGATGGGAAAAGCTTCATAATTTCCAAATGGAATTCAACTGCTTTGGGGGAGGAGGGGAGGGTCACTCAGGGTCCCCCCCCCCATCACAGCATTCAGATCACCACATTCCTATACGGGGCACAAGGCTGGCCCTCAGACCAGACCATCAGCTGCATCTCTAAGAAAGTTTAACACTCTATTACTTCATATAACCATGGGGGTGGGTGGAAACCAAAAAGTATATTACCTCTTGTAGGCGCTGTTGTATGGTTCTGCTTTCCATCCATAGAAGAAACTAGAAAAATATTCAGAGAAAGTAAATAAAATCAATTTTAGGTAGGTAAGTGAAAGGAAAGCCATTATTTCGCCACAAAATCTTATGTACAACTTGATACAAAATCAGTTAACCATAACTAAATTAAATGCTTTGCAAACAAATTAAAGTTATTTCATCATTTAATGGAATAATATATCAACACATGAAAATTATACTCATAAGCCATTGATCAATGATTTCCCAATTAGGAGACACTTCCTTTAGTACTTGACTACTATTTTGTATGAGGTAACCCTGCCTCCATCCCTTCCCTAGCCACAGTAGATTAGGCCATAACAGGCACCTCGCATGAGTTGGGCTGATCACAGCCTTTTATCCAGGGTCACCCCTAATTAAAATATTTGATCCAGTGGTGGGCATCTGAGGCCACCAGACAAATCAGAATACAGTCTGGAGAATTTTGGAACCAGAACTGAGAAGAGTAGTTCATTCTTCTTCCTTTCCTGTTTTTCCACTCTGTTAATAAATTATGTCAACTTGGCTATACCATGGTTCCCAGATAATGAGTCAAACATCATTCTAGATGTTTCTGTGAAGATATTTTTAGGTTATATTGACATTTATATCACTAGACACTGCATAAAAAAATAGTCTCCATAATGTGGGCAGGCCTCATCAGTGGAACTCCTTAATAAAAAAAGATTGACCTCCTCGGAAAAGGAATTCTGCCAGCAAACTGCCTTCACATTTGAACTGCAAGTTCTTCCTTGGTCTCCTAGCTGCTCACCCAACCTGCAGATTTTGGACTTTCCAAGCTTTTATAACGACATGAACCAATTCCTGAAAATAAATCTTTCTCTCTCCACATGCCTACACACATATCCTGTTGTTCTGTTTCTCTGAGAAACCTTCAGTAATACACCTATCTACCTTGGAAACAAGGAAACAAAAGCAGAGAGAAACAGAAAGAGACAGAGGGGAACGACAGTCTTCAACTAGCTCGAATTGTTTATTTCATACACCCCAAGGTCCCCACGCATTCCTTCTCCTGCATTTTACAGAGTCTCTGACCATCATAGTGTCTTCATCTGCTTCAAGTTTGGTTTCTGAAAAACTTCTGCTTTATGGTATTGTTTTTAAAACACAACAATGTTTTAAAAATCTTTCTTATGATTTAGGATGCTAAGAAATTCTTCCTCTGGACTTAACCATTGAATAAGCATTTATGAGCCATCTGAGAAGAGTGAACTGGACACAAGAAAAGGAAAATTGTAAGTACTTCTATGTGTCAGTTCCTTTCACAGGGACTTATTTAAAGAGAGATTATACTTTTCTTTCTATAATAAATATTTTAGCCATTCTGCACCTGAAATAAGATTGTTGAATTTAGTTCAGTTTGCAACTTAAACCATCATACAAGTACTTTCCCTCCAGACAACACTCATACTTTGGTATATAACAATATTATGTATGTATTTCCGGCTTCATACATGAAATATTAAAAGATAATCTAGTCAAGCACTGAAATGTAATAAAATCGATCATATTTACTGATTCATCAAGCATATTTCTAAATGAAACTGGAAGCGTGTGTACTTTGTGTATACGTGTAGAATAAAGAATACAACTATTATTAGTAGAGCTTAGTGCTTGTTCTGGGTTGAATTATGTTTTCCAAAAGTTCCTATGTTGAAGTTCTTAGGCCTGTTTCTCAAAATGTGATCTTATTTGACAATAAACTCACAACTATTAACAACAGAACCTAAAAGAAAATTAAAACAAAAACAAACTAAGCAAACAACTAGAACAGGAACAGATTCACAGAAATGGAGATCACATGGAGGGTTATCAGTGGTAAGGGGGAGGGGGAGGATGGGGGAAAAGGCACAGGGAATAAGTAGCATTAAATGATAGGTACAAAATAGACAGGGGGAGGGTAAGAATAGTATAGGAAATGTAGAAGCCAAAGAACTTACATGTATGACCCATGGACATGAAGTAAAGGGGGCAGAAGGTAAGTTGGAAGGCGTGTGCAGGGTGAAGGGGAATAGGAGGGGGGAGGGAACAACTGTAGTAGCAAAATCAATAAAATATATTTTAAAAATAAAAAATGAAAATAGATTATTTGCAGCTGTGATTAGTTCAAAGTCACACTGGACTAGAGTGAATCCCTAATTCAATGTAACTGGTATCTTTATAAAATGGGGAACTCTAACACACAGACATGCTCACAGGGAGAACACCATGTTAAATTGGAGTTATGGTACCACAAGCTAAGGAGCAGCAGAAGCTAGGACAGAGTCTGACACAGATCCTTCCCTAGAGCCTTCAGAGAGAGCATGGCCCTTCCAACACCTTGATCTCAGACTTCTAGCCTCCAGACTAAGACAATAAATTTCTGTCACCCAAAGCACTCAGTTTGTGGTACTTGTTTCAGCAGTACTAGCAAACTAATGCAGTACCACTGACTTTTTCATACTAATGGATCAGTAATTAAAAAATTTTTAATCCCTCTATTGAAGTATGATTGACATGTGAAAATGGTATGTATTAAATGTATACAATTTTATGAGTTTAGGCATAAGTATTCACCCATAAAACCATTACCAACATCAAGGCCAAAAATATCTTCATCACAATACAAAGTTTCTTTCCATTCCCTTTATTATTATTATTATTATTATTATTTTATTATTAATGTGTGTATGTGGTAAAAACTTACAGTAGGTTATTTATTGTTAGCTATGGACACTAGGCAATTCTCTAAATTACCTAGTAATTCTCTAAAACATATTTATCTTACATAAATGAACTTTGTACCCCTTGACCTTCACCTCCCCACTTTCTCCTCCCCAGCCCCTGGCAATCGCCATTCTAGTCTCTGCCTCTATCACGTTGACTATTCTAGATTCTACATATAAGTTAGATCATACAGTATTTCTCTTTCTGTGAATGGTTTAGTTCATTCACCCTAATGTCCTTCAGGTCCATCCGTGTTGTTACAAAATTTATTTTTTTAAAGACTGAATAACATTCCATTGTATGTATTTGTCACATTTTATTTACCCACTTACCCATCAGTGGACACCCAGGTTG